GAGGCAGTATCACTACGGAAGTAGGATTGCCCAACCTTCCTTCCGAGGAGTGGCTGGTGGGTTTGAACCGCCAGCCTTCTGGTAAGCAGTCAAGTGCTTTAGGCACTATGCTACCAGAGCTCCTATTTTATATACTAAGAAATCTTTTTCAACATAATGGAACACTGACTATACTTTAATCACAGGCATTGTCCTCAGTTTAATAATAATTTTAAGTCCAGCTTTTAAAGTTATAAATAGAATGTCACTTGACATTCAGGAAATAGGTATGTGATAGGCTCATATCATTCCTTCAATTTCCACATATAATGAATAAAATTTTAACTATTCCAAGATTGAATTACGTTTTGCTTTGAGTTTTTTGTTGAAACCCTGTATTTTCAGTAGTGGAAGGCATTTTCAATGAAATGAAAAAAAATTTTTTGGAGGTATTATGGATTTTTTTTTTGTTTTATATTATGGATTTTGATACAATTAGTAGGCATGTATGTCCTGAGTGGTCTCTGGTGCTAGGCTTGGTGGGTTGAGGCCTGTTTCTTCAGTTTCATGCAGTTATACAGGCTCCCACCAAATGGCTACATGTACTAAAAGTGGGAGAGAAGCTTTGCACTAAACCTCAGAGGAGGAAACGGTAGGTGGGCACTATATGTTTCATGGGTCACAGGGTGTTACCTTTCAGACCATACTAGAAAACAAGTTTGCTTTTAAAAGAAAAAGTCAACTATTGATGTTAATTCAAAAGCTCCAGCCGATTTTAGAATTACCAAAAGTTTTCACAGATTTCAGAGAAGTTTCTTCTTTCTGTTCCACAAACCTCAAGGAATAAAAAGGCAATGAATAGTCTTCCTCAGCTTTTTTCCTTTCTAACTTTCTCCCTACGTGATGACAATACCAATCATGACCCAAAGAAAAGACAACGCAGAAGGATTTTTTCATGAACTTTTCTACTTGTGACTGCCTTTCCTTATAAATTTAGCCTCTATTGATTTAAAGCTACAAGAATCTAGATTAAAAGGTGAAGTAACTTTTAGAAATGTCAAACATACTCAAGGAATTTATTCTTCTTTCCTTGTAGTTATGCTCCCCACCAACTGAGATCTTTTTACCATTGATCCCAAAACCCTATACCCAGTGCCACTGAGTCAATTCCAACTCATTGTGACCCTATAGGACAGAGCAGAACTGCCTCTTAGGGTTTGCAAGGCGGTGAATCTTTATAGATGCAGGCTGCCTCATCTTTCTCCTATGGAGCAGCTGATGGATTTGAACTGTTGAACATTTGGTTAACAGCCAAATGCTTCAATCACTGCACCACTAGCACTCCTGTTACCACTGATGTTGTTGTTATTTGCCGTTGAGTCGGCCCCAACTCATAGCGACCCCTCCTTGGGTTTCTGAGGCGGTATCACTACAGAAGTAGGACTGCCCAACCTTCCTTCCGAGGAGTGGCTGGTGGGTTTGAACCGCCAGCCTTCTGGTTAGCAGTCAAGTGCCTTAGGCACTATGCTACCAGAGCTCCGGAGATATTAAAATTAATTACTATTTGGGTTCCTTTTTCATAATGTATAACTTTTGATGAATTGAAAGAAACATTCCAAACTAATCCTATTCTTTCTAGAATTTAATCAACTATCACTTAGACAATCACTCCAACACTATAATGCTGATAGTAGACACACCTCAATGGCTCATTCAATTATCAAGAATGTTGAGAAATAGACTGTTGTTAAAATTTAGGCCAACTTTGGGTTTAACATTTACTCATATTCTTTTTTTTTTTTTTAATGGGTTTAGGCAAGATAAAACCGACTCCTAGGGGTAACATAAAGAGATAATGAAAAACCAAAAAGGTTTTTGCTACATCTTCCACAGCCATTTAAAGAATGGTCTCTGCAAAACAGCACCAACTTCTTTGGGACCTTAGGTCATGCACATGCAGTACTATTAAATGAAGAAGGTCAATCTGGACAAATGGGCAAGGGAACAGAGGGCAGATTTAGATTCTTACTGAGCATGCTCAAATTTCTAATGCACCAAAAGAGCAAGAGACCTCCCCCTAAGGTGGAAGGTAACCACTTCACATATATTTTGCTTCTAAAATACATAAAGGTATGTCATCCATTTTAAAACTACTGTTATATTCTATAAATAAGTGTAAAAGGTCCACAGCAGTAATATATTACATAATACACATTATTTAATGAAATATGTAAGAGATAGTAAATAATGGGAAAAAAAAAAAACCATTAGGCAGCCATTGTTGCCTTCTTTCACAAAGCCTATGATATTACAAGCAAAACACCACGTAAATATATTCCTATCAGAAAGAAATGTTTTGTTTTGTTTTTTAACAAATGGGGTTGGGGAGGAGACACTAAATTCTCATTTTGAAATACCTAAATTGTTCTCTACATTATTTCTCAAAGACCTTGTAGGGTATCTGGCCTCTAAGGAATACATTTCAATTCTGTTTGGGAGCTATGTAATGCAACCATAATTTGCACTAAATTGTACAATGTAGTGTGCACCAGAATAGCACATTTATAGAGTGAGCAGTTCATTACTTAGACCAAGTCAACTTGATCCACAAGTATACCAGTATACTCAATTAAACGAAAATGAAATTCTTGCTAAATGACCACCTTGGGATTAGAGATAAATTAATCAGCTCCAATTCAGTCTAATTTCTCAAAGACAGTACATTAAGGTTTTTAAAAATCCTCTTCACAAATTTTTAAAGAATTGTGTAAATAAAATCAATTCACTATGACTACTAAAACTCATGTCCATTGGATGCATTTTCCTTTCCTAATACCTGAATAAACATGCTCAGTAATGAAAAAATTCAAAGCATTTGCAGACCTTTTGGAGACGGGACTCTGCCTTGTTAGTAGCCATGCCAAGCTGTTCTTTGATCACACAGGGATGCAGACTCCAGGCCAGCACAAATGGTAACTAAAGATTATACCTGACCTGGTGCTAGGCATATAGGGGGGGTGTCCTTTGCAAGGAGGAGCTAATACACCCGGGGGTAGTGGACACACACACTAAGAATAGAAAGATGTTCTGCTTGGGAGCAGAGAGCCAGGATCCTTCTCCAGCAACTGCCTCACTGACTTCTGCCTCCTCATCTCTGTCCTACCCTCTGTTGTGGCTGCTGCTGAGTTGGGCTCCGTCGAGCCATGCTCAGGGCTCCTGCGCACCAGCACCTCCCCCTCTTGCACACGTTTGATCCCTAGGTCAGTGGAGCCGTGTTGGATCGGGGAGCCAGGAATACTCGAGTCAGCCTCGTTTGAGAAGTCAAAGCCATCTGGGATTCAACATATAACATTTTAGTGTTTTTGTGCTGCTCTATTCTTTTCTCAGCATTTTGACCCAGGCAGATAAGAGAATGTATATATGGATATGATATAAACACAAATACTATTTATATAGATACATGTGTGTGCACAGCATGCACACACATAAGGCGGCAGATGAACAATGTGAGATTTGCAAATGAATAGGACAGAAAAATAGGAATCATTAAAACAGCAATTAATATCTCTTAGGCAAGACAGCTTGACAATTCAAGTACCATATGCCTATGAAATACTGCTGGATTCAGCATATACCAAAAAAAGGAGAAGCAAAGATAAAAATCTAAAAAGAATTCATTCTTTTACAGATAGCTTGTATTATACTATTACTTTGGCCAGTTATATAGTTTTCTCCCACAATGCCCATACATGTACCTTTCTTTCAGTATGGTAAATGACTTATTAAAGAGATTTTTTTCCCAACTTTTATTTCTAGTTTATAAAAAGACAAAAATTCACTTAATCTTATTTCTGTTTTAGCATTCATCGAGAAGTGTAATATATATGTAAACGTTAGGCATTTAAATTACATTTCCAGTGCCATTTTAAAAAACTAAGAAAGTTTTAGCTTAATTATATAGGTTGCTATAATGTCATGGTTAATACAGCCTGTAAAAACAGTGATAAATTTACTGGAATACACAAGTGGACTATGAGGATTTGGGGTTTACCTTCTCTCCTCCATCTATGACGACGGATTGAAGCTGTTGTAATTGCAGTACGAGAAATCCTCGGCACTGTCGGAGTGACTTCTACTTTAAGTACTTTCTGGCCTTCTTGTGAACAATCAGGAGCATCAAATGGTAATGAGTTTTTCATGGCATTGGCGACCTAAAATGATGACATAACACTATACAAATTTACAATCAAAATAGTTTATGTTTATTCTATACTTGTGGTTTCCATAATTGTGTAGGAGCTCTGGTAGCATAGTGCCTAAGGCACTTGACTGCTAACCAGAAGGCTGGCGGTTGAAACCCACCAGCCACTCCTCGGAAGGAAGGTTGGGCAATCTACTTCCGTAGTGATACTGCCTCAGAAACCCAAGGAGGGGTCGCTATGAGTCGGGTCCAACTCGACGGCACATAACAACAACATAATTGTGTAGTTTAAGAGTATAGTATGTCAGAAGTGCTTGTGTATCCATTTTGTGCATTTTTTTCAGTATATGACTCAAATAAGGATTTTTTAAAACGTCAAATCACATACTCCAATTACTCTTTGAAGTTTCTGACTTTCAGGGAGAAAAGAATAGCATTCCAAAGAAAGAAAAATTAACATTTGAACACTGATATATGAAAACAGAATAAGTTTCTGACTCTTAAATGATAAATAATAAGGAAATTTTAATTCTGTTAAATAATGACCTTTTCTTCACTCCTCTATTTCCATGAAGAAAAATTTTCCCTTAACACTTCTGGCATTTTGTCTTACCATTTTCTGCTCCTTTGGAGAAGACTAAGATATCCAGATGGAGAATAGTTGCCTTTGACTGGTCCTAATTCTTTAAATGGTCAGGGTAATCTGGTAAAGATCTTAAGCCATAGAACTGCCTTTCTCCATCCCTCTCCGCCTGAAACAATGGAATCTGGCAACTGGAAAGTGTGCCTGTTCTGCCAATTCAAACCTGTTCTCCAGTAAGCTTTTCCAGATGCTAGACAGAGAGGTCAGGAATTAAGTCTTTCAATTCAGTCTTTATCAGTAATAAGAATGATGCCTGGTTTCAGCATCTGCCAACTATTTTTTCTATTTATACCTGGATTTAAATAGAGAAAGATGGTATTACTTATTGGGTTCCTAAAAGACATCTACAAATAAAGGAAAGTTCTAGGACTAGAGAGTACTAATTTTTAGAGAGTACTATTTTTTTTTTTTTATTTTTAAATATATTGCTTTGGAAATGTTACTTTTATTTAATTTATAAGACTCTTGCAAGGTCCGACAGAGCCTGGTGGAACCACTGAGACTATGGCCTCTAGCTGTCCTTCAGGTCTGGAATTGAACCCATGCCTGTGGCTTCCAGCCAAACAACAGACAGGCATATGAGTTGAACATTTACCTGAGGTAGATACACTCCTTGGAGAGAACAAGCATGGGAGAAAGAAGGGCTGCTTATGCACAGGGAGACAGCTCAGGGGGCAGGACTGCATGGAGGGATGGACACAAGGAAGAGGTAACTATTGGGAGGAATTAGGAGGGGAGCTGTTGCATTGTGGTAAATTGTGGTCAATGTCATGAGACAAAGTGTATGTGAACTGCTGTATGGAAAGTGTATTTGCTCTGTAAATTTTCACCCACATCACAATAAAAAAAAAAAAAAAAGACTGTTGCAAGGATAAATCTATGAATTTAAAAAATCTCACAAATAAAGGTATTATCAATATGATGTAAATTTCTCGTTATTCATTCGTTTTAATGTAATCCTTAGGGTAAAAATTAGGAATACTGAGATATAAAAAAAGGGGAATTCAAATATAAAAGAATTATTACAAATGCTACATCAAAAACCAGTACTCGACTGTCAGAGTTTGTCGTACGGTGGTGGCCTGTGTGTTGCTGTGACGCTGGAAGGTATGCTGTAGGTACTTCAAATTAACAGCAAGGTTACCATGGTGGACAGGTTCTAGCAGAGGTTCCAGACTAAGACAGACTGGGAAGAAGGCCCTAGTGATCTTCTAAAAAAAACCAGCCAATGAAAGCCCAATGAACAGGAGCAGAACACTGTCTGATACAGTGTCAGAAGATGAGCCTTCAGGTTGGAAGACATTCAAAATTCATCTGGGGAAGAGGTGCTTCCTCAAAGTACAGACGATCTCAATGATGTGGATGGAGTAAAGCTCTCCAGACCTTCATTTGCTGATGTGGCATGACTCAAAAGGTGAAGAAACAGCTACAGATGCAAACATCCATTAATAATTGGAATGAGGAAAACAGTATGAAGTATGAATCCAAAAAAATTAGAAGGCATCAAAAACGAAAAGCAACACAAGAAGTTCAATATCCTAGGCATCAGTAACCTAAAGTGGGCTAATATCAGATAACCATATGGTCTACTATGCTGAGAATAACAAGTTGAAGAGGAGTGGTCACATTCATCATCCAAAAGAACATTTCAAGATCTATCCTAAAGTACAATGCTGCGAGTGATTGAATGATACCCACACAACTACAAGACGACCAGTTAATACAACTATTACTGAAACTTATACACCAAAAACCAATGCTACAGATGAAGAAATTGAACATTTTTACCAACTTCTGCAGTCTAAAATTGAGCAAACAGGCACTCAAGATGCATGGATATCACCTAAATCACAATAAAAAGGTCCCTCCCCGCAACCACAAAACAAAATAAAATGATGGATTGATAATTACTGGTGATTTGAATGCAAAAGTTAGAAACAAAGAAGGATTTAAAAAGAAAAAAACCAAACTCACTGCCTTCAAGTCAATTTCAACTCATAGCGACCTCTCCTTGGGTTTCCGAGGTGGTATCTCTATGGAAGTAGATTGCCCAGTCGTCCTTCTGAGGAGTGGCTGGTGGGTTTGAACCACCAACCTTCTGGTTAGCAGTCAAATGCCTTAGGCACTACACCACCAGAGCTCCCAAAGAAGGATTAGTAGTTGGAAAATATGGGTTAGGTAAGAGAAATGACATCAGAGACTGCATTACAGGATTTTGTAAAACCAATGACTTATTCAATGCAAATACCCTTTTTTTTTAAACAACATAAGCTGTGACTATACATGTAGACTTTGTTGGATAGAATACACAACAATCAAATGGACTACATCTGTGAAAGAGACAAAGGAGAAGCTCAATATCATCATTTAGAACAAGGCCAATGTCAACTGTGGAACAAACCATCAGTTGCTCATATGCAGGTTCAAGTTGAACCTGGTGAAAATTAAAACAAGTTCACAAAAGCCAAGGTACCAAGCTGAATTTAGAACCATGTCAAGAACAGATGTGATGCATTGAACAGTAATGACCAAAGACCAGAGGAGTTGTGGGATGAACACCAAGGACATCATCTATGAAGAAAGTAAAACGTCATTTAAAAGGCAAGAAAGGAAGACAAGACTAAAATGGATGTCAGAAAAGACTAACATTTGTACTTGAATGTACAGTAGCTAAAGCGAATGGAGAAATGATGAAATGAAAGAGCTGAACAGAAGATTTCAAAGGGCAGTTCAAGAAAACAAAGCAAAACATTATAATGAAATGTGCAAAGACCTGGCATTAGAAAACCAAAAAGAAAAAACTTGCTTGGCATTTCTCAAGCTGAAAGAACTGCAGAAAAAATTCAAACTTTGAATTGCAGCATTGAAGGATTTTATTGGCAAAATATTCAACAATACAGCTAGCATCAAAACAAGATGGAAGGAATATAGTCACCAGACAAAAAAACTGTTCAATGTTCAACCATTTCAGGAGACAGCACAGGATCAAGAACTGACAGTACTGAAGGAACAAGTCCAAGCTGCACTGAAGGAACTGGTGCAAAAGAAAGCTCCAGGAACTGATGGAATACCAACTGAGATGTTTCAATAAATGGATACAATACTGGAAGCACTCAATCGTCTATCCAAGAAATTTGGAAGACAGATCACTGGTCAACTGATTGGAAGAGATCTGTATTTGTGCCCATTTCAAAGAAAGATGATGCAACAGCATACAGAAATTGTCACACAATAAATAGCATTAATATCACACACAAGACAATTCTGAAGATAACTGATGCATAAAGGGGAACTGCCAGAAATTCCAGCCAGATTCAGAAGAGGGTGTGGAATGAGGGATATCATTATTGATGTCAGATGGATCTTGACTGAAAGTACAGATTATGAGAAAAACATTTACCTGTGTTTTATTAACTAGGCAAAGGCATTCAACTGTGTGGATCATAACAAATTATGGATAACATTGTGAAGAACATGAATTCCAGAACATTTCATTATATTCATGTGGAAAGCAGATCAAGAGGCAGCTCTTTGAACAAAACAAGGGGACACTGCATGGTTTAAAATGAGGAAAGATGTGCATTAGGGTTGTATTCTTTCACCATACTTATGCAATCTGTATGTTGAGTAATAATCTGAGAGGCTAGTCTATACGGGGAAGAACGTGGCACATTATGATTGGAGGAAGACTCATTATCAACCTGTGATATGCAGATGACAGAAGTCTGCATGCTGAATGTGACAATGACTTGAAGCACTTACTGATGAAGATCAAAACAACAGCCTTCAGTATGGATTACATCTCAATATAAAGAAAACAAAATTCCTCACAACTGGGCCAACCACCAATAACATGATAAATGGAGAAATGACTGAAGTTGTCAAAGATTTCATTTTACCTGGATCCACAACCTATACCCAAGGAAGTAGCAGTCAAGAAATCAAATGACATACTGCACTGGGCAAATATGCTGCAAAAGACTCCTTTAAAGTGTTAAAAAGCAAAGACATCACACCTTGAGGACTAAGGTACACCTGATCCAAGGCATGGTATTTTCAATTGCCTCATACATATGCGAAAGCTAGATAATGAATAAAGAAGACAAAAGAATTGATGCCTTTGAATTATGGTGTTGGCAAAGAATACTGAATACATGAAGGACTGCCAAAGGAACAAACAAATCTGTCTTGGAAGAAGTACAGGCAGAATGTTCATTACAATAGAGGATAGTGAGCCTTCACCTCATGTACTTTGGAAATGCTATCAAGAGGGAGTAGTTCTTGGAGAAGGTCACTATGCCTAGTAAAGTGGAGGGTCAGCAAAAAAGAGGAAGACTCTCAATGAGATACACTGACACAGTGACTGCAACAATAGGCTCAAATATAGCAACGACTGTGAGGCCAGCACAAGACTGGGCAGTGCTTTGTTCCGTTATACACAGTATTGCTCTAAGTTGGAACGGCACCCCAAAATATATAAATTATTTTACTCAGTAGTGCTTTTTTCAGATAGTGATATGTTTAATGAAGAGTAAATGTAACTTACCAGTAATGGTTGAGAAAAGAGTTCTAGCTGAGCTCTGTAAATGATATCATCAAGGACTTCCTGGCCAAGGTCCCACTGCCCATTATACCTATAAAGAAGCAGATCATTTATTATCTTTAGCAAGTATCTCTAATCATTAATATAATCTTTCTATTGTCCCAAGACCTACTATTTTGGTTCTGACGTAGGTTTTTGTTGCATCAATACTTATATAATTTCATTTCTAAGCTAACCCATTTTTGGTTATTAAAAAATTTGAAGATTTCAAATATTAATGTGTAAAATAGTTTACAGATGTTTCTTCACATAAATTAGTTTTTATCATGTGCTGATATTCAGTTATCTAACTTAACGCATTCATGAAAATCAAGTTTGCAAACAAGCTTGAGGATGGTAAAGATAATATTCCATAAAGAGAGCCTAGGAATTTCTAGACTATAATTTTAATGACAATTTATGTTATATATTGGCTATTTAAAAAGTATTAAAAGGAATCCACATTAGAAAAACAAGATAACATGCTTATCATAGAACAAATGTTATATCCAGTAACTGGGTATGCTACTGAAAAAGAAGAAAGTTTTAAAGTAGTTTCAAACAGAAAGAATTCATACAATTTCAAATTCCAACTACTTACATGGCATAATAGACTCCTGTGAGAAGTTGCACCATAAATTCAGGATCCAATACTATTCGACCACAGAGTTCTTTCCAGTGTTTTTCATGTTGCCGTGGAAACCCACTAACACAAACCCTAGGAAAACATGGTATTTACCACACGTGATTTCTGGTTCATTAAGTAAAATACCTTTTTGCTCCCATAAATTAATTTCTTCATTCCTTAAATATTATACTGAATGTGGTAGTTATGTTTGTGTGTCAACTTGGCTGGGCATGGTTCAGTGGCTGGGCAGCTGGTGGTAGTTATTTCCCATGAAGAGACTGGCAATCAACTCCATGGTGGCATCTATCTACCACAAGCAGCTAAGTAGCTGCCTTTGGGATGTGGTCTGCTTCCTGTATATAAGAAGAAGCCTTGGGAATGGTCTCTAGTCTACGGCATGCTTGGACCCTGCATGTAGCCATGTCGTTGCTCAGCAGCCTGCTATGCTCTGCCGACCTTGGGACTTACATTGGACTTGAATTAGTGGCCTGCTGTGTGGTTTGGTAACATCGGGACTGTGCCTTTTTACTTGTTAACCTTGTGGCTTCTCAGCGTCAGCAGCCAGCAGCTGTATGAGTGGAGAAATGCCTCTAGCTCCAGTAGGCCAGGAGCAGGAGACAGAGCTGGACCCCAAGGTTGAGGGGCTTTTACCCAGCACCCAGAGCCTGGCACTCTGAACTTGGACTTAAAGCCTCCAAATTCTAAGAATAAACTCTTGTTTGTTAAGGCCATCCCATTTGTGGTATATTTCCTGTCAGAGCGGCACTAGGTAACCAGAACACTGAACGTCTACTATGTGCCATTCACAGGTCTGGGTTTAGGCATACAGTCACATGATTATATGCCTACACCCAGAACAGGGAGTGCCACAAAAGTGTGCCTTCAGAAGGCATACATTCTAACAGATGATGTTATTAAGAGTAACAACTTTTCTTAAATAGCTAACTACCTTTTTCATAATCATCTACCTATCTCTTCACAAAAAAAGGTGTAACTCTCACTCAGTGCAAATTGTATTATGGCAAATTGCTGGGAGATAAAAAAATCTCAAAGCAAATAAAGGAAAATGTCAAAATACTGCTGTCTGTGACATCCCTTTTAAGCAAACCATGAACAACCTCCTACCTTCCATCTCATTAAGAGATGTTTTTCCAAAAAAGGTATCTTTAATAATTACCAGAAGTTATAATGTATCTAGCTTATTTTAATCAATTAATTTCTTTGGATAATTATAATGGTGAGCATAAATCCCAAATAA